ACAACAGCTGCATAGCCGCGTTGCGACGCGTCGCAAAATCCTAATAAATAGCACGGGGCATTCTGGCGCGAATTAAAATGCCGGGGGACGCGAATAGATAGTAATGACGGTAAATCAGCGACGAAAGCTGCCCATTCATCATGAATGTCCGTAGAGAGAGGTTCATCCCACGACAAACCACGAAGCCAGGTCCGTTGCATGATAGACTTGGCTAAAAACACCGCGGGACCGAACACCCCAAGTGGGTCGAATATTCGAGCTACTAACGACAAAATACCGCGCTTGGTATAAACAGGTGATTGTTCGAGACTTAACGCACAACACAAGTAATCTCCGTCGGGGTGCCATTCTAAACCTAACACCTTGGTACCCTGACCGTCTACCGTTTCGAACGGCGTAGGTGCGTGCACACGATTCGCGGCCGGCACTGCGTCCAAAACCGACGTAGTGTTCGACGACCATTTTTCAAGTTCTAGACCAGACCTATTCAACACACAAATCAAATCGGATTGTAATTTTAATACATCAGCAATAGTATCAGCCCCGTCGCATATGTCGTCGACGTAAGTCTGACGCGTCAACGCATTACGCACCCCCTCGGACTCAATGCAATCGTCGGAAGAAATCGACTGTAACACGCGCAACGCGAGATACGGCGCACAATTAACGCCGTACATGACCGTATTCAATTCGTATTCGAGCAGTTTGTCATGTGTTGTAACTTACGATATTTTGACAAAATATCAAAACTTGCCGATACATCTTGCAGATGTCGGTCGTAAAAACGTATTTATGTACGAGGAACCGCGTTAGGATGTCTACAATGTCCTGTTGGAGCTTAGGCCCCGGAAACAGACAGTCATTTAATGACGGCCCGCGGCCACATTTCGCGGAAGCGTCGAAAACTACACGTATTTTATTACTGTCCACCTATCCGGGCGGTATACAGCGTGGTGCGGAATGAAATAGCACCCCGGGGACGTGGTAACCGACATATGCTCTAACGATATATATTCGGACATAAATTGAGTATACAATGATTTTAATAATGGATCCGCCGACAATTTGCGTTTGAGCGACTCGAAACGCCGTATCGCAACATCACGGGACGCTACAAACAATTCGTCCGAAGCCGGTACACGGAACGGCAACGGGACGGAAAATCGACCAGTCGACAAACGTATTGTTTCGTCGACAAAAATTTGTTCGCACCGCCCATTATCAGTGAACGTTGCAGGAGCTACCTCTGGCTCCTGAACGTGCCAAAATCTTTCCATGAGTGATGAGTCCCTCAATGGAAACAGTTAACGAAACTGGCAACGATTATCGCGGGCCGGTCTCATCAACGGACACCGGACCAATTAAAATCCAGCCGAAAACAGAGCTAAACGCCGACGGTAACGCGTCGTCAACCGAAATCTTACGGTCGTCCATAATTGACGCAAAAACGTCACTGCCTAACAACAACTGTCAACAAGTCAACAGGGGACGACGGGTCCGCTAACGCTAAATTGGAGTACCTGTCCTTAATGTCGACGGCGTTTTGGTAGGTAATTCGTTCGTTATCGTGGACAACACCCAAACGTGTACGGCTAACGCGGGCTCGGACGAGAATCGCGGATGTACAGTACACTCGACCCGGCCTTGTACCTATAAGTTATAACCGAGCAAGGATTATAAGCCACGTGTTCGTCAAATATTTTCGTTTCGATAACTGCAGATAACCGGCATAGCGGTTACCTATAACCATAATTATAACTGTGAGCCTCTTAGGGCACTCCACGCCATAATATGATATTACCGTTTACCAAAATATAATAATATATTCTATCCTCTATATATCGATGGCTAAGAGGCCAAAAGTTGTATGTCCAATTTTTCTCAAAATTGTTTTATTAGTTCATAGTGTTTATCTGGGTCGTCTTTTTGATTCGGTAAAACATTATAAGTCAATATCATGATTATAACATGTTTTATTTATACTTTAATTTTTGTGTTTTTAGTGCAAGATATGTTTTTTTAGTGCACACATATAACAAGTCCTAATTTAATGAGACATACGATAAATATTTTAACATGATCTAAATATTAAGCGGACAAATATAACAAGTCCGGACTTGTTACTTTTGTCAAAAACAATTTATTGAATTTTGGACGTGTAATGTTTTAGATAATATTGAATTTGTTTATCTATTTATAAAAAATTAATATGTCCGGACGTATTATTTTAAATAATAAAAATTTTTAATTTTAAATTACACTAAATAATATGATATCTTCACTTAGAATAAAATATCATTAAACACTGGTTTTATTTAACTAAAAATTTGATGAAAAATGCTACTTAATTATTTTTCACATACAATAAAAAATTCCAATATATTTTATATTTTTTACTTTTTTACTGCAATTTTATAAACAAATTGAATTTTTTATATTAAAAAAATAAGTCTTACGTACATTTTAACTATTTATGTAATAAATTAATTAGAGTTTATATTAAATTAACAACTTTTAATATGTCCATCAAAACCTTACATGTCCACGGTAAAAATATATTATAATTGCCATTCATAACAAGTCCCATTTAAATTTAAAAGAAACATTATAATTACATTTGAAAAAATTTTAAAACCTAAAAGTAATAATTTATGCAATCTACAGAATATTTTACAAATAAATCAGTTGCAACACCGAAAAATAAAAATCTACAACGCAAATTATTTGGTGTAGAATAATTTAAAATCTTAAAACTGCTCTCCTGAAAAATTTAGTGTTTGGGACATACAACTTTTGGCCTCTTAGCCATCGATATAGCCGCAGACTTGGGTAGTATACCGAATACAGTATTCAGAATACTTTTTAAGTACTTTTTTTTGAAAGTATTCAACTCAGTATTTTGAATACTTGTTATAAGTATTCCGAGTACAGTATTCGGAATAAATTTTTTCCAATTAAATTTTAAAAATAATTTCATTAATTTTCCGTCATAGAAATTGCTTTTGTATACTATTTCTATACAAAATATTATAAAGCAATTGTCGATCTTTTTCTTTTTTTGTGTGTTTGTGTGTGTACACCGTCTTTGACACACATCAATTGTTTATTATATTATTATTATTTTATTTATTTTCTACTATTTTTAATTGGTCAGTAATGTTATTACGTATTTTCCAATTTTTTAGCGACGAGCCAGCGAAAGCGATAAGATATTATTATGATTTCGGGATTTCCCTATAATAAGTAATAAACTTATGGCGATAGTAAAATTATTGCGTGTGTGTGTGAGTGTGTGTTGTGTCACTTGTGCGCAACTTTCCGCACAGACCGCCACTAGTCGACATCATAGAGTAATATAGAGAGGGCCTTACATATCTTAGCTGCACAAGAAAGTGAAGCGCAAAAGGTATATGATTGCCAGTTTAAGTGGATAGTACACAAAAATTATTGTACAATATATGGTAAAACGATTCACCTGTAATGCCGTTATCTTTGATACATTTGTTATCTCGTGTGTTGTTTCCCTCTAATATGCCATGAGTAATTCTTAACTTCATTATTTTTGTTTACTGTTTAGTATCTTAGTCCGTGCCCCGTGGTTTATACCCATGCCCGATGCCGTATGATCGTTCAGTAATTCAGTATTACTCTTTACTGTCGTTTATTTTGCAACTTGCTTTTACTGTTTTTATTTCTTTTTGCTGGTAGTTAAAAATGCCTAGTTGTCTAGTTTGTGGAAGAACGAACAATGCCAAAGCTAAATCGGCTAATATAACTTTTCATAGGTATGTTATCTTGTGAAATGAAATCTTTATTTTCAATTTTTTTTTTTAGAAGTGATTATGATAGACTTTTACTTTGACTATTTATTTCAGATTTCCGCTTAAAGACACTTACAAGAATAAATGGTACAATTTTTTGGGAGAAAATGGCATACTACCTGATAAAGTATCAAAGACAAGTTTAGTTTGTTCAGCACATTTTGACGATTCATTTTTTGTAATGGGAAAGGATAGAAGACTGTTACTTAAACATGCTATTCCAACTAAAATTATCAACAGAATAAAATGTGTAAGTGTGCATTTTGAGTAGATTAAAACAAAACAAAGTAACTCCATAACGGATAGGTATCTAATCTACATTTATTATTTTAGGCTAAACAACAATACTCAGAAACTGTAACCAACTTGCCTGTAATTAAAACTTTTTATACTAGTTCTGCTAGCGATTCAGTTGACAATATTGCTTCTTTAAATGTTACCAGAACTTTAGTAAAGGTGAGTCATAATTAATAATAATTTACAATACACAATAGAATAGAATAAATTACAAAAATATACTACCTAATACTAATAAAACATAAAGCAATTGGGTCTAGTTCTTATAATTTAAATTTCAGATAAATGAAAATTGCTTAAAGTTTTATTAATATTATTTTGAAAAGGTATAAGTAACATTTTCTTCAATTCATACAATTTATCTATCAAACTAACAGTCACCATATTTGGTCATTGTTAATATTATATTTCTGTTAAAATGTTTATTTGTTGCTTATCAAGTCTCAACATTTTTTATGTTGTTATTTTTAGTGTCCTTTGAGCAATATAGAGGTAGACGGAGTATCTTTGTTGGAACCAGTTCAATCAAGTTCTAGTGAAGAAGAAGGAGTACTACCATTAGACAATTCTTCTGTATCAATGATGAATTGTGAAACAATCACACCCAATAAAAATATCTCGGTAATATTAAAAAATATAATACAATTGTACATACATTAATCATAAAATTGCAATATATTTGTTTATTTATAATTTTTTTTTTAGAATGTACTTCACTCATCCACAATGTCCATAGACACCGAGATAGTTCCAGATGACACTCCACGCAAAATCGCATTGAAAAAAAATCTTCGCCAACTATCACATGAAGTCACTATCAAAAATATTAAAATGAAAACCCTTCAGCAAAAAATAAGGCGCCAAAGTAAAAGAATTTCATCTATGAAGAATATAATTTCCGAGCTTCAAAAACAAAATTTAATTGACGAGGAAGCCAGTTATACCCTGTCTGAAACTTTTGGTAAGCATAAAGATTTGATAACCAATTGGACAAAAAAAAAATTAGGTAAAAAAGTTCCAAAGAAATATAGTGCCACCATTCGTCAATTTGCTTTATCATTACATTTTTTTTCTGCTAAAGCATATTCGTATGTAAGACAGCAGTTTGACACGATTTTGCCTCATAGTAGAACTCTTAGTAAATGGTACAGAAATGTCAATGCTGAACCAGGTTTTACTGAAGAGTCGTTAAAGATGCTAACTCTTAAAGTAAATAATTCACCCCATCCTATTTTATTAGCTTTGTCTATGGATGAAATGGCTATAAGACAACACCTGGAATTTGATGGTACTAAGTATTATGGAAGGGTTGATATGGGAAATTATATGGATAATGATAGTTTAAACACAGCTAAACAATGTTTAGTTTTTATGGCAGTCTCGGTAAATGAGAATTGGAAGTTACCAATTGGTTATTTTGTAGTGGATGCTTTAAAAAGTGCACAGAAAGTTGAACTAGTTCGCCACGCATTAAATGTATTGAACAGCACTGGTGTAAAAGTCTTGAGCTTAACATTTGATGGTTGTTCTAGTAATATTAGTGCAGCTCAACTTTTAGGTTGTAATTATGTTTTGAGTGCATTAGATACATCTTTTTCTTCTGGCTTTGAAAGTAATCCACAAATTGTAACCCTTTTTGATCCTGCACACATGATCAAATTGGTTCGTAATGCTTTTGGTGAAAAGAAGGTCTTTAAAGATAGTGCAAATAATGAAATAAAATTTGAATATGTCCGGCAATTGTGTTATTTGCAAGAGAAGGAAGGATGCCATCTTGCTAATAAACTGCGAAAACAGCATCTTCTTTATTTCAAACAAAAGATGAAAGTAAAACTTGCAACCCAACTACTTAGTCAGTCAGTAGCAGATGCATTGACATTTTGCAAAGATAGCCTCAAACTAAAAGAGTTTTCTAATGCAGGTGCTACCATACAATTTATCAAACTCTTTAATACTGGCTTTGACATATTAAACTCAAAATCTATCAACTGTGTAGGATTTAAAAAAGCACTATGTGAAGAAAACATTCAAGAAGTTAGATTGTTCACAGAAAAAATGACAACATATATTAAAGGTCTTAAAATTCAAGATAGACCAGGAGTTTTTACACCCGTACTTGAATCACAACGAAAAACTGGGTTTCTTGGATTTATAGTCAGTTTAAATAGTATTTTACAGCTATATACTTTGTTTGTGGAAACTGATGTCTTACAACATATAAAAATTTATAAATTAAGCCAAGATCACGTAGAACTGTTTTTCGGTAGTATAAGGGCCCACGGTGGGCATAACAATAATCCAACAGTGAGGCAGTTTCGTTCAGCATACCAAAAATTAGTTATCAGAACAAATGATATACAAAGTTTTAATACTGGTAATTGTATACCACTTGAAGAGATAGATATTCTTCACTACTCCAGTTCAGATCCAGTTACTGTTTTAAATAACAATTCTTCAGGTTGCAGTTTTGATCCAATTGATGAAGAAAATGAACAAGATATTTCTGCATTTATAATGGACCATGATTATATTGGAAGTCACAGTTCATACTCTTTTAGTAATTTTTCAAAAGAAATCATTGTTTATATTTCAGGATTTGTAGTTCATAAATTGACCAATGTACTGAAATGTGATGTTTGCAAACATGCATTGTGTGCTGCCGAAAAAGAATGTTTTCTAAATTCGTTGATAACATTAAAAAATAAGGGAGGCATTCATGGTGGACTTATTTTTCCAAGCGAAGATGTCATAGATGTTTGTTTCATTACAGAAAACATTTTGAGAAGATATGATTATACTTCTAAAGCTGTAAATAAATTACAAGTTCAAACCGATGTCCTTAAACATTTTGTATTTAATTCAAATATATTTAAATCATTAAAAAATCATAGTACTGAAACCAGAAGTCCATTAGCCGACCATACAACTCTTTTAATAAAATCTATATCTTCTACTTATATAAATATAAAAATAAATTACAGTTTAAAAAAACACAATGAAACCCCTTCTGTTCGGATGTGGTTTAATAAACTTACTCTTTTTAAAGGACAATAATTTAGTTTTTGTTTATTATTATTCTATAGTCTCTCCGCCCATTTATTTAATAACTTATAACTTGTGTATTGTGTATATAGTTTAATAAACTAAATATTTTTAAATGACAATAATTGAATTTATAGTTTATTATTTACTATTACTGTTATTGTATTTTCAGGATTCAATGCTACACCACTGTGAAAATAACAGAATCAATCGCCTGTCTTGTAAAGTATTTGAGTAAAAGTATTCTATGAAAAAGTTATACTATGTACTGAAGTGCAATAAATTATTTATTATAGATTATTAGATTAATACATGTGTCAACTGTAAATACAAAATTAAAATAAAAAAAAATATAGCTGTTTTTCTTGATATTAAATAATAATAACTACTATGCCATATTTATAAAATTAGTAAATTTTAAAATACTAATGATGTGTGTTGTACATTAGGTACATTGTTGTCCAAGCTATAGTATTTGATGGTACTTACAGTTACAACATACACCAAGTACCAAAAGTGCTGAATTCTTATTCTAATTAATTTAAGTAAAACTAGAATGCTGAAATAAAAAATTAATTCAGTTTACTAATGATTAAGTTTATCCATAAGGTTAAGGTAAAAAGGTAAAACATAAAAAAAAAAGTATTTGAAAGTATATTTAAATACTTTTTAAAAGTATTCGTATTTATACTTAAAATACTTTTTTTTCCAAGTGTCCAAATACGTATTTTAAATACTATTGAAAATAAGTATTTGTATCTGTACTTGAATACTTTTTAAAAGTATCTTTTACAAGACTGTCAATCGTACACCAAAAGAGCAAAACTATTATAAGTTATTATATATTATAACAAGGGCCCCGATTTTTATGCAAAAATTATTGCTAAATATGCACATATTTATACACTTAAAAATTAAAAAAAATGTAAAAAAAAATGCAATGAAGTTACGAAATGTGATTTCATTTTATCGTACACTTTGTGACAACATAATTTTTTTCCACTAGATAGGCAACACTGGCAAACATACACCTTTTCCGCTTCACTTTTTTTTTCGAACGGCATCTCTATATTACTCTATGGTCGACATAGCCCACAGACTTCTATATTATATAGAAGTATTATATAGAAGTCTGTGACATACATAGATAATAGATATAATATCTAGAATCAAAACTGGAAGTAAAAGTGTATTCATGGAATAAAAAAAAAAAAGCACTTTATGTTATTGTGTCCGGGAACGTATGATAAGGGAACATGGCCTATCCATTCTTTATTATCTATGGTGACATAGCCCTTCTGTTGCAACCACGATTAAAGATATACAGGTTGCACATCGCCCTATAGTAAACCGCTTCCAGACTGATTTACAAAGTGACTATAAAAATCAGCTGTTAATAATTAACTAGTGGCGCTTAATGTCAACACTCAACCATATGTGTCGACATTTAGAACTAATTTTACACCTATATATCTATAATTGGTTAATTGTAATACTGCCGCTTGGAGCGCCACTGGTTAATTATTGGTAGTCATTTCGTATTTCACCTTATCAGTAGTCGATGTGCAACCTGTATATCTTTAATCGTGGTTGCAACCATAGATAATAAAGATATTATCTAATATCTATGGTTGCAACTTGCAACACTGATTTTATTCCTTATACAGTTATACGTCTTTTCCGTTGTTCTTAAGTAAAGTTTTATTCGAAAAACATTAAAATGGCAGATTTGAACGAAATTGATGATGGTCAATCTTCGATCACTGATGGCACTTGTAAAACCTATCGCCTACCTTGGTCAAAATATGAAAACATTTTTAAAATAATTGATCTAAAAGAAGATTTTGAAAAGTATCAAAAATTCAATGTTCGTTGTAAATATTGTGCTTCGTCCAAACTACTGACAGCAGACACAAGGAATAGTTCCAATTTATTAAAGCACTTAGAGGTAAGTACCTACTAGCTACATACATTATTTAATTGTATATTTATAGATATACATAATAATTATGGTATGTAACATGTAAGCTATGATTGAGGGATACTTTTTACTATTGGTACATAAAGTATAAATTTAATATAGTTATGTATTATATAATATTATTATATTGTTATATATTATGTACCTTTATTATATTATAAGCTATAATATATATACATTTAGATGGTACAGAAAAAAATTGCAAGTATTTTAATTGGAAGAAGTATGTTAGCTAATATAGTAATATATTTTTGTTTAAATTAATTGGAAGAATTAATTGAATTTTTAATAGTACCTATAAGTATATTTAAATACATATACATTAATAAACTATGATTTAATTGTAAAGGTTACTACTTACTATTTTGTTTTGTATTTTATTGGTTTAGATGCAACATAAAAATATTTGGACATCACAAAATGAAAAATTTGTTCAAACTAAACTCAAAAGAAAAACTGATGACTGCATCAATGAAAACTTCCATTCAAATCATAAATTGGAGATAAATGAAAAAAAAACCAAGGTTACAACGATATTAGATTTTTCTAAAAGAAATTCTTCAGTTTCTCAAAGTAAGATTGGTCTTCTGCATTTTTGTAAAAAAATTAATTTTATAGTAGAAAGTTAGATGTTTATTAAACATTATTAATTTTATATTAAACTTATATTTTATCATACTAATACATAAACTTAATCTTATATTTTAAATGTAATAGGTACTAGCCACTAGATAGCCTATATACGTGTATCAAGTTTTTTAATGAGTTGTGATTGATTAAATTGTCTGATCAAGATTTTAAAAAACTCATTTGAATATGATAACAACTACCTACCTACTCTAAATATTGACAATGACATTTATAATAGTTTTTCTTATTTATTCCTCAAAATTGGATTTATTGCTTGTTTCACTCAATATCAATTATCAATCATATTATTATTTTTAGATGAGTTAAATTTGATGATTCAAAATTTGATTATTAATGCTTCATTACCATTTAATTTGGTAGAACAGATTGATTTTAAAAATTTGATTACAACTGGATATCCTAATCGTCATGTGTTATCAAGGAAGACGTTAATGAAAAATATAGAAGCTCAACATCAAGTCCTTTTACAAGATATGAAAAGCATATTTTCCAAAGTTAATTATTTAACTACCACTGCTGATTGTTGGACTATTTTCAAAAGGTTTGTTATTTTAAACAAATTATTATCTAATTCATAGCATCTATAATTTAAATATTCTTTTTCAGATCCTATTTGGGTATGACTTGTCATTGGATTAATCCAGTATCACTAGAGAGAGAGTCTTGCTTATTGGCTATAAGAAGATTAAAGGGCAGCCATACTTATGATTTGCTAGCAAGAACTATGGAATCTATTTATACTGAATTTAATATCAATGATAAAGTTATCTATACAACAACTGACAACGGTTCTAATTTTGTCAAATGCTTTGAGTAATTATAATAGTTATTATTATTTATTTGTATTTTAGAAATTTTTACTATTAAATAGGTAATTTGAACTGAAGGTTTAACATTTTTTTTTTCTAAATATATAATATATTTTATTCAGTAGGGAAGTGACTTACCTATATAATATGTTATACTAACAGAATTTCTATCAAAGTCCACAATGTTCATATCTAAAAAAATTTCATAATTATAAAATCAAGGTTTTAATAATTCATAAAGAATATTAATATGAACTCTTAGTATTCATTTTTTTTATGTTAATTTTTTTAAATATTTACTATTTTACTATAGTTGTGACTAACTCAACTAACTAATTTATATTATATCAAGATTATTTTGTTCCCTTAGAATTTATGGTCAATCGTCAGTTGTTGAAATTGTTCAAGATGGAAGTAAGAAAACAGATGTAGAAATTCTTCAAACTCTAGAAGATTCAATTGAAGAGGAATATGATGAAAACAAGGAAGACACTGACGATGATGCTAATACTGAAAAAGATGAAGATGTTAGTTTTTCTCGTATATCTATTACCCAAGTTCTGGATAACAGAGAACTAATTGGTGAATGTACATCCAATTGGGATGATTGTATGGTATATAACCTACCTAAGCATCACAGATGTGCTTCGCATACTCTAAATCTAATAGCAACAGCTGTAAGATACATTTAAATTTATTTATTTACTTTATCTTATTTTTTTCTATTATGACATTTACAATTTTTAATTTTAGGAGATTGAAAAAGCTTTATCGGCTATCGCCTAATGTTTCCAAAAGACCATCTATGTTAAACTACAGAAAACAAAGTAGACTCACATTTTCAAAATGCCAAGCATTATGGAATAAGCAGAACCGTTCACCTCAAATAGCTGATATAATTAAAATGAATTTGGGCGTTTATTTAAAAACTCCTAATCAAACACGTTGGAACTGTTGGTTTGATTCATCAAAATTTCTTCTTTTGCATTTTAAAAACAGTCCTTCCAAGTTCACTAAAGTGTGTGATGCTATAAAATTAAATCGGTTTTCCAAAAATGATTTAGAATTTTTAGAAGAGTATGTTGTAGTTATGGAACCATTGTGCATTTGCCTTGATGTGTTGCAAGGGGAAAAAAATATGTATTTTGGGTTTTTGTTGCCTTCTATTACAATACTCTTACAAAAATATGATGATATCGCTAAAAAAAATTTAGTTTATTGTGATTCTTTAGTTAGTTTGATAAAAGCAAACGTGGAAAAACGTTTCGAAAATTTTTTGACTGATCCGTTTTTATTATCTGCAACGGTTTCACATCCGTTTTTTAAAACCATCTGGCTAACCGACAATGATAAAAAAGATAAGGCATTATCATTTTTTAAAAAATCTTGTTTAGAAATGTTTGAACAATCAAATTTGCCTGAATCTGAGATATCTGATAGCAATATGAGTGATGATGCAAATAATTACTTTAACTGGTCTGAAAATAAATCAAAAGTGGATCTTTCATTAGAGCAAGAAATAACAAGGTATTTGTCAAAAAGTCCTACAAAAAATCTTAATATATTGAATGAAATGCCCACAGTTAAAAAAGTATTTTTAAAATTTAACACACCACTTCCTAGCAGTGCTGCTGTGGAACGCATATTTAGTATTGGTGGTGCTGTTTTATCTAAAAAAAGAGGTAGGATGAATGATAAAAATTTTGAAAATGTATTAATGTTAAAGTGTAATAAATCATTAATATAAAATAATATACAGTATTAACTTTTAAATATTATAAAATATATTTACCTATTATTATTATGATGTCAACGTTGTAATTTTTTTTATTATTATTATTATTATTACTTAAGCCACTACAACTTGGCTATTGGTTTATAGTATTAGTTGACTATTTTATTACTTTTTATAATGATATTAACTATAATATTATTATGATTAACTATTAATTAACAGTATGTTTTTTTTTTTTATTGTGTTTTATCAGAGCAATTCTTTTTTATTAATACTATTTACTATTATTATTTAATAAGCTTAAATTTGGCCATTGGCTTAAAGTAGTTGAACAGTTGTAATGTTGTGTAGTTAATAGTTATATTAGTATAATACTATAATGTTGATCATTATTTTTTTTTTCAGTTTATAAAATAATAAATATGTTGAAATAAACGGTTTAAAAGTATTATATTGTTTGACATTATTGTATTATAATTATTTAGGTACAATAGTTGGTGTTATGAGATCTTATATAGGTATACTCAGATAGGTGTGTACTGTGTATTATCGAGGTTATAATAATGTTCATTTATAAACACAGAATTGAAAGAATAATATTTTTGCTATTGAAATCTATATCTACTGAAGAAAAGTATCCGAAAAATATTTGGAATACTTTTTGTAAAGTATTCCAAATACTTAGGAATATTATTATCACAAAGTATTCGAATACATATTCTGAATACTTTTTTTTATAGTATTCGGAATATGTATTTGAAATACTTTTAAAAAGTATTTTACCCAAGTCTGTATAGCCGTTAAGTACTATCTATCACTATCATAGGCGTGCGCAGAGTTTAAGTTCGGGGCTTGCCCGTGGAAAATTTGAATTAGGTATACATTATACACACATAGACAGAGTATAGTATAGATAATAGATATTATAAAAAAAAATAGAGCAGAAACAAGTCACATTTTTTATATTATAACTTATTTATTAATTATTATTGGTTACTGGTTAGTATATAATATTTACAGATTCATACGTCTATTTTCTAAGGTATTGAACTCATCGATGACAGAATCCAGGTTTATCCCACTTGTCAACTCTTGTTCGGTGAATAGTAACAGTAACGAATCTAATCGTTCCTGTTTCATCGTACTTCTAAGTTTTGATTTTACAATTGTCATTTTGGAAAAGACTCGTTCGCATGTACAACTATTGTGTGTGGGATAATAGTAAATAATTGTAAGGTTTTATAAAAACAACTGTAGGTAGAAAAAGGTGGGCAAGTGGGTGTCGCTCTGCTGTACAGTAGGTTACAAGTGGGTCATTGTATAATGGATGGTATTAAATTTGAATTCAATGATATAATATCATTGTATAAGAAAAACGATTCTGAGCGGAGACGGTATGTCCTTCTAGGTATAAGACATATTATATACATATCTATGGTATTAAAAAAAATTGACCTATAATGAATTCCAAATTAATCATATCACAATATCCATTAGGTACTTATAAGTTATAACGCGTTATACACCAACAACAAACCCTGATACTATCATAGATATATATAGTAGATTACTTTAGAAATTTCAAGTACCCACGAATAATATTATACAATCACAACAAAATAACTAAAATCGTAATTCTTGGTTTAAATATGAAATGTTGTCTAAATTTGAAATTAAAATGTCTGTAAAAAATAAGTGTGTTTATATATTTTTTAGATTTTTTGGTTACAGTATGAATTATTTAAGAGAATCTTTGTTTTAAATTTTCAACTCTTAGTTATAAAAACTGAACATTTTATAATTTTTTAATTCCAACGATTGATAATTTTTGAGATTTTGATAAATTTTGTCAAAATTCCAACTTTAAATGCTTATAAAAAAAAAATCGTGCCTATGTATTTTTAATATTTTTTAACTGATATTGTAACAATATATCAGGAGCCTTGTATTAAATTTTTACACTTTTTGGCCCAACAGATAAAACTTTATTGATATTTATAGAAAAAAAACTAAAAAAAATTGAAAGCTGTAAATGTCCATAAACAGCTCAAAAAGAGTCAAAATATTTTCAAAATTGTATGGTGTATAGGAAATGCTAATATAAACATTCAGTGAAATTTTCATGTATCTACAGTTATTCGTTTTTGAATTACAACAAAATAAGGAAATCGCTACGTGAGAAATCGAGTGAAAATCCTATGTTGTAAAAATTTGAATTTCAAACGCTCATAAAAATTTAATTTGACTGTCCGGTAGAGATTTTTTTATTGATAAAGGTAGATAATCTTATAAGGCATCTAGTGTTTTATTTTCAAATCTTAGATTTAAAAAGAAAAATTTTTACGAATTCTTAACTCAAAATAATTTGCTAATTTTCGTGATTTTTCCATATTTTGTCAATTTTTGAACTTTAAATGCTTATAAAAAAAAATTGTGACTAAGGATTTTTAATATTTTTCATCTGCCTTTGAAACAACATATTAGGAGCCTTCTATTAAATTTTCAAGCTTTCGCAACCAACAAATAAAATGTTATTGATATTTTTAGAAAAAAAACTAAAAAAAAATGGAAAATGAAAATGTCCCTAAACAGTTCAAAATAAATCAAAATATTTTGAAAATGTTATCGTGTATAGAAAATGCAAATATTAACAACCAGTGAAAATTTCATGTATATACGTTCATTTGTTTTAGAGTTACACCAATAACCAAAATCGATTTTTTGGAAAACCAATTTTGCGTAAAAATTCCCGTTTTTCCTTAATTTTTATGTTGTTTTTCCCGGCGCTTGTGAAAACTACTGGGAAATGTTTACTTTTGACCCCCCAAAGTATACCAACTAGATTCACTTTCCTATCAGAAAAGGTACTATTGAAGAAAATCGAAGCACTTTTACTGTCCCAAAACGTGATGACAGACACAAAAATATAAAAATATAAAAATATAAATAAAAATATAAAAACATACATCATTGTAAAACCAATACATTCATCGCTCCGCTCAGAATCTAATACTATTGTTAGTTTTCAGCCAATAAAGCCACAAATAAATGGACTCACAGTGAGTAAACGCGCGTTATAATACAGCTGCATTCATTATTGTAAACGCGCGTTTAACGCTCTTAATGTGAACCTAGCCTTAGGCTGTAGGCTACATAAATAGCTTTTTTGCATACACGTACCTACATTAACCACTTACCCATCCACGGGTCAACCCACCAGACCACCCACCCCATTTATAGATGGGACACTTGACCCAAAAATTCTGCATCACGCCGCCACTGGCACTCACTAGATGTAAGTACCATTAGGTTTATCAGATTTTGGCAAATGTTTTAAAAGGTTTGTTTCAGTTTTTAGATCTGTACTTGATGTATTTGAGAACTTAGCCAAAACATCAATCATTTCAGGTTTTATTTCCATGTGTAGCAGACTAGCAATAAAGCTTCAATTAAGCTTAAAGTTTCTTGATTGAATCTTGAATCCATTGCCGATAATAAATCATCAAGTAGTTCATAATAAACCGATATCTTCATTTCATCTAATTTATTTTTAAAAAAAAATTGAGATTTAGATTTGTTATCAATTTGAGTCGATATACTTTTCTACGAATAACGTCTGGAACAATTATTCCATGTTTTTTACATAAAGCAACTGCTTGTTCAAAAATATTTTCATTTCTCATACTTTTAAGATTTAATGTTAAAGACCGTACATCATTATCAATTGCCAACAAAAGATTTAGTTTTGGTGATTCAAGTACTGAGCTAACTTTTAAAATAAGATTTAATAGTGGATGCATCATAAACATGCCAAAAATGAACTCAAATCTTTTTATTTTGTATAAAAGACCTTTGCCTTTTGCACTCATCTCAGGATTGGTACAATTGTTACAAATGTCTTCAATTTCAAGAAGTAGACAGTCATAATTGTTTAATATAGCCTTGACTGCTTCGCCTCTACATGCCCAACGTGTAGTAGAACATGATTCTGATGTGTCTAAGGGTGTACCGTAATTTGCGCATGGTAAATTAAGCGCACGTTTATTGAGCGTGGTAATTATAGCGCACGACAATTAAGCGCATATGACATCTTGGCGATCGTCAAATCAGCGCTCACTACATTTTAGCGTGCGACAATTCAGCGCAATTTAAAAATATCTAATTGAAAGAATTTCCGTGTTATCGATGCAGCAGCAGAAGTTATTATCTATTGGTGTCTAGATAATCGAGATAGTCTGATATAGGCATATAGGTAGGTAACTAGTATAAAATAATTTTGTGGTTAGTATACGTAATGTATTTCGGCTTTCAACATTCAACAACATAATGTCTGTACTACAATATATAACTAGTCAAAGGGGAAAAAAATTATTAGTATACAACAATTATATTCATAGACAGGACAGACGAGATGAAAACAAAATAATTTGGAGGTGCAATGGAAATCAAAAGTGCTCAGGACGGGTCCATGTATCAGAAAGTAAGTACTAGGGCTCGGGACTTCTAGGAGTTTGCATGTTTTTAAATAATCATCAAAAACATAGCTAACTAATATAGAAATTTGTTTCATAGCAATACAAGTTTATATTTAAAATTTATAGTTGCATATTTTGCATATTTGACCATTTTTCATTTATAAGTGCATATTTGACCATTTTTCATTTTATAAGTGCATATTTGACAATTATTTATATGAAGGAGTATAAGTATAAAAACGTCGATCAACTCGTATCCAATGTAAAAAAATCATTTCTTAAGGCACCGTCACGTATTCAAATATTAAAATCTGTTGCACCTGATATTCCATTACCTCCGCAGCCTATTTTGACCAGGTGGGGTACATGGATAGATGCGGCTTCATACTATTGCAATCATTTTAAAATAATTGGACGCGTAATTGATATGCTTACTGAAAACGATGCAGAATCTATCAAGAAATGTAAACAAATTTTAAAATCCAATAATTTGGAAGCAAATTTAGTTTTTATTTTGTCAAATTATGGATTTATATC